GATCATTCAGTCCCTTATGGTGACTTGTAGAGTTTGAGTTGTATACTGATGTTCATTAAAGCCCAATAAGTAATTCCCAGAGCATTTATTACTAAGAAAATTCATTAAAATCGATGCGTTTTCATGTGATGATAAAGTCATAACAAAATCAAAACATGGTTGTCGAGTTTTGTTAATTGCAAAGATTTTTTTGCTTAGGATGTAACTTCTCTTATTGACAGTTAGAGACTAGCTTGTGAATAAAGGAGCCAGATATTGATCTCAGGGGTCGGAAGAGACCATAAACAGAGTTGAATATAGCACATTCACCAGGTGGCGAGAAACACTAATCATTTGTGTTCTTGTGACTTGTTTGTAATGATGGTTAATATTTACTAAACGAGTCTGGTTACTCTGTAAAAACTCAGTAATACGGAGCAACATTTTTCTTTCCCTTTCCTTCTTAGCAAATAGATGGCGAGTCCTTCCTGCTGCTCACCCAGGCGGACATCGTCAAGATTCTGTCCATCAAGTTAGGGCCCGCCCTCAAGATCTACAACTCCATCCTCATGTTGAAGAACGCAGACGAAGAGTAGAAACTCCAGAGACTGAAGAGGAGTCGCTCCCTCCTTTCATCGACACTCGGCTATGAAGACTTTTGATCCAATCAGCTTCAACAGCTTTTGTCTGTGGAGCTCTGCGACAGAGCGGAGCAGCATCACCAGAGACAGAAGCGGAGGCCATCATCTCAGAAAAAAACGTCCACCCCTCCCCCCTCTCCCCTCTCCCCCTCCTCTCTCCATGATGGAGGTCACTTCGATACTTTAAGTTTTCTTGATCTCTATCGTGTTTGTTTACTGAATGATTTAAAAAAGAACTACAGGCACCTTCAATGCTTCTTAACATTGTACAGTTTTTGAATTGGATTTAGTGTTGCGTTAATGAATGGTGCTCGGGCTAAGAGCAGATGGAACAAGAGCGTTTGTGCTTTGTTTCATTTTTACTTAGCAATAGATTTTTTCTTTTTTAAAGGTGCAAAATACAATCGTGGAGGGCGAAAGATTTTTAAAATGTGAAACCCAGTGGAGCAGAAGCACTATGTAGTTCAGCTGCTCTCCTCTAGATGGAGAGCGTGGGCAGCTCTACGGGCCCGCAGGCGAGACGCTTTGATTAGATTGGAGCTGAAGCTTGGGTTGAAAGGGGGATGGTAAAGACTTTGTGTGTTTGTGTGTGCAGATGTGAGTGTTTGAGAAATAAGGGTGTAATTTCCCATCAGCCCACGTGTTATGTTCTGGTCAGAGGATTGTTTTGTGGCAGGCATGGCTAAGGGCTAAATGTTCAATCAAGAAACCTTGCAGTCGTTTAAAGTGGAACGAGACAGCTTTATCTCTGTCTCCTTTGTTTGTTAATGGGAACGGCACATGAAAATGAATGTCTAAAAAAACAGCTTTTCTGTTGTTTTGTTTATATTATCTTGTTTATTTTCATTCACATTGTAAATAGTATACAGCTACAAATGGACTGTCCTCGCTCCCTAACAGAGTTTACTCCTGCTTGATTATGCAAAGGCTTGACATCTGTCCACGAGGAGAGGACGTTGTGACAATGAAAACATACGAGCCTCAATTCATACAAAGATTTTGAGAAAAAAAGAAACAAAACAAACATTGTCAGTGTCTTTGTGAATCAGCGTGTACTTCGGTGAGTTGGAATGTGTACATCAGCAACTGTTTATATGCAAACGGCTTTTATTTATGTATTCTAATTTAAAGGGTAATGTTATGCTGTTTTTGGCTCCGAGGTAAGCTGTGGCTCTTTGACGGAAAGTGTGTGAATGGGTGAAAATAAATGAGATGCACACTGTCTGCTGTCCTCATTCAACCTCTCTCACCATACACATCCTCCTAAACCCGTCTTTATCTGTACATTTGAGTTATTTACAGAAGGGGAAAACACATTGGCTTAAGTACTTAATGCATTTTTGAGGTAACGTAGTGTGACAAAACAAACATTACTTAAGATCTATCTACTAACTTTTGTTCCTGTTTTTTGAGAGCTCAGTAGCTGTTGCACTTTAAGTGATGGCACGTTTAGGAAATCTGTGGCAGGGGCTCAATTGACTCTTCAATTTAATATGTCATCTAGGGCTGCACGATATTGGAAAAAACTGACATTGCGATTTGTTTTCCCCCTGTGATATATATTGCGATATGAAAACATACAGGAATTGAAGAAAAGACCGTTTTTTTCTCAGCAAACCATCCTTTCTTGAACTTTAATGCTATACAATTGGTATTTTTTTAACTATATTTAACCGGATGAAGGATTTTAGTCACGGACGTCTGGATCTTAAGTTATCAGAGCAACAAGCTGAGCTAGCTCGGTGAGCAGCGAATGCACATATCGTGATTATCGTCACGACACAATATATCGTGCAGCCCTAATTTCATCCACATCCAGTCGTTCCCAACCTTTCTGGTTCAGGCATCCTTTCAAATAAACAGTAGATGTTTCTCAATACTCAAACTTCCCCTCCTCGACTCCTATCCTCGATACTTAGTCCCGCCCACAGGAGATGCGAGCGGAGGACTGAGGAGGGGAACCGAGGAGAGGAGGGGAAATTAGAGTATTGAGAAACCTCTAGTCTCTTGTTCCCTCTCAAAACCTCTCAGGTGGTTTCATTTACATAATTGTTTGAAGAAGAAAAATGACTTGAGGCCTTGCGTTTTTATTCTTTCTTATTACATTAATCATCCCACGATGATGATGTACTGTATGACCCTTAAGACGCAGCTTGAGCCTGGAGTTGATAAAAACAACCACTAACTCCATTAACTGGAAAAGTAAAATGCTCCTTACTCATTACTAACCATCTATGTAATGAGTCCCTGGGCATGTACTGTTTTGTGTTCACATAAATAGCTTCAAGTGTTTTGGCCCACGGTTTCTGTGAAATGACAGTAAGTTGGCCTTTTGTGAGACCGAATGTTGCCATATGGCCTCAAAGTGGAAACTGTCTGGTTGTGTTTTGCTCACACATGACCCACATCCACATCGGGCAAAACACATCACAGCTCACCCTCAAACCACCGTACTGTGTGTTGCCTACCTGACCCTTCAGCAAGCCTAAACCCCTTCCCCCCCAATGCTGGCCGGAGGCTCAGCTGTGTGCTGGCTGACATGACACCTGTTGACATTGCCGAAAACTGTGGCCCAGATACATTTGGCCAGGATGTGGTAAACTAATTCTGCAATACATTTCACAATTTAACACTGGTTTCGCATTGCACTCCTACAAAGCATTGCCGGAGTCCATTTAAAGTAAAAAGTCCACCAAACACAATTCCACCTTTTGTTTAGTGGTGGTGACGTGAGTTATGTGATTCTTACAATAGCATTTCACTTTTTAAAATGACTAAAGTGGTGTATATTGGGTTATGTCCTTTAAAAACTGTTATTTCAAGATAAACCAACATCTTTTGATTGGGTTTGAAATGCCACAGTTTATTTAGTTTTACAAGGTTTTTGTTTTAAATCTTCACTCCACACTTTTCTACAGTTTGGCACAACTGGCAATCACTATTTAACCCCGGCTGATATCATTAGAAATGTTTTGGGAAACACAAGCGGCGCGCACTGTTTGCATATCTGGGAAGTGAGATCCAAAAGCAAAGCCGCCAATCAAGCTAATGGCCAAAGAGAATTAAAGGGAAAGCTTCAAGATTGTAACTTTTAAGAAAAAAAAAAAGAATGAGAGCAGAGTCAAAGATATTTATGTGTATGTCAAAACGTTACGCCTACATTGGCCACAATGCACGAGAACCACCAACAGGTCAGTCAGACATGTGGGTTTGTTAAGCTAGTAGTGGCTAATGTAGCCTCAGAGATAGAAGGAGAGTTGTTAAGAGAGCCGGTTAGCTCTCTTTCTAATTTTGTTTCATTTTTAAACTTGTAATTTTTCGCCCGAGTCGATGATGCCTTAAGTGACATCACGAGGCATTTTCCAGAACATTTGCAGCCTGCAGCTACACAGCCACAAAAGGTATGTTACGACCTTTTTCCCAGGCAGCAGTGAATCAATTTGATTTGTCACATGAAACTTTACAAGGTACATCTCCTGTGAAATGCACTTTTAAATCAGTGGAGTTCCCCTTTAAGACAAGGCAAGTTTATTTAAATAGCACAATTCAGCAGCAAGGCAGTTCATAGCGCTTTACATAAAACATTAAAAGCATCGAGACAAAGAGCAAAATAAACACATTCAAAGAAAATACATTTGAATACAAGTCATTAAAGAGCCAAGAGAATAGAAAAATAGAGCCAAAATAGAACAAGATTTTTATAAAACGTATGAACAAATTATCACATTGAAATAATTATTCAATCAAAATCCACACATCTGAGAATTGATTTTCATACCCTAAATAATTAAACTGAGATTATAAGGGCTGCTGTAAAGATAGAAAATAATGCTGTATATAATGTGAAGAAAATCATTGGAGACCCCCAACCTAGTGTTTTTCAAAAGAGATTCATTTCTGGTTACATTTGATGCATTTGCTCTACACATTTCAGGTTTGTGCGGGAAGGAGGCTGCTTCGTCAGTATCTCACTGTTTGGTGATCACTAAGAATAACCGGGCTCACCGTGGGACTGGCCTGGACCAGCCTCATATTCCCACGACCCCTCCTCTACTCACAGAGACAAATGAAAACACAGGCTGCAGAGGCGCTCCGGCAGAGGCGCAGGGAGGCGTGCAGAGTGGCTTTGCACCACTTTTAGTAAGACTGTTTTTTACTCTAAAAGCTTCATTTCTGGCTCCGCAGTACGCGCTATTGCGCTGCTCACGGGCACACGGTATGAAAAACGTCGTAATGTGAGGAGGAAAACACCGAGAAAGTCAGAATTTAACGCACGGAGTGGGAGGAATAACGAAACTCTGGGTTTGTTTGATTTTTTTTATCATGCCGAGGATCCCGTTTCTGCTTCGGATTTACCTCCAAGACAAGGCAAGTACCCTGTCAGATTGTTTCCATTGACTGCGATAAAGTAACCGGACAGTGATCTGCAGTGAATTATAGACAGCAACAGTGCAGTGGTGCAACATGAATTATAATATAACATTAAAGATGCATGCGTAAAAGCACTTATAAAACAGCAATTTGTCATTTGCGTCCTGTTGAATCACCCGTAGCCTAGTGTTCACTCGCTCCGGGGGAAACGGAATCATGAGTTCAGACAACCCAACTAATGTGCCTCTTTATTTGTGACTGCAGTGACATTGTTAACTCAAATCACGCGATCCTGAAAGGGGTCATTCGTTTGTATTCCCATGATGATGATGATGATGAAGGTTTGATAGCAGTTCAGCCCAGGTTCAGAGGAGCTGCTGTGTGGCTCCACAGAGACACTGGACTGGAGGAGCCACTTGCCTTATTAAAGCTGCTACTTCCTGTTGTGAGCACTGCAGTCGACTGCCTTCTCCCAAACACCTCATGTGCTCTCCCTTTGGGGCCGCATGCAACACTTTGTGACTGAATTATTGTATTTCTCTGTGTTCTGTTCAGTGTGAAGCCAGAGGATGACAGCAGCCAGTCCTCCCTGCAGCCCCACCTCCTCCCTCTCCTCCCAGTCCTCACCTGGTTGCCTCCCAGCATGCCAAAGGCACCTGAAGAAAGGCAGAGCCCTCCACACCACCCTGCCCCTGCGCTCCGCCCCGGGGGTGTGGCTCCTGCTGGGTGTGGTGGTGGTCCTGGTGGGGATGGCTGTGGCGGTGGCGGGCTACGTGTCCTCACCACCGAAGCCCGTGGTGAGCGGGCGCGGCTCCACCCACATTGAGAGGATGAAGCTGGCCGGGCCCGTCGTCATGGGAGTGGGCCTCTTCATCTTCATCTGCGCCGCCACGCTTCTGTACGAGAACCGGGATCTGGAAGAAGTCCTCAGACGGGGGACGTGCGATGACCTGGAGGATCTGAAGGGGGGAGACGGCTGGGAGGATTCACAGGAGCAGCCCAGCTTCAGCTGTCAGGAGCAGTGGGAGGAGAAAGAGGGGGGGCAGTGGGCCGCTCCGACCCACACACTCCCCCTCTCGGACCAGAACTGTGGGACGCCTCACAGGAACACACACACCGTCAGCGGCACGCCGTCACCGCCGCCTCCTCCTCCGGATGCGGGAGATAGAGAGGAAGAGGAGGATGAGGAGAAGGAAGGAAGATCAACCCTTCTGGCCCGAGTCCTCCACCACAAGGAGCCGACTCCTCACCCTCCCTCCCCCTGCCCCTCCGTCTCCCACTCCTCAGTGTACTCAGACTCTTGCAACTCCAGTGAAATTAACTTCAACATACGGACAGGCCTTCCTCAACACTGAACTCATAAAATGTGCATGATGAGATTCTTTGGAGGTTTCACGTGCGGACACACACTTATAACGGGACTTTGCTGTCTTGAATAAACAGATGAAATGTTTGGTGGTATGCTTTAGTGCCTCCGAGTGGCGCAGTCGGTCTGACTCACTGTCTGTGAAGGGTGTTTTTGTCCTACATCGTTCTCTGACTCACCCACGTTTGAAAGATTCGGATCTGTGGTGTTTGATGTCAACTCACCATCTTGTTGTCTTTGAACTCACCCATGCCTGAAATCCCCAAAAGCCACTGCTTGTTTGACCATATTTGGACGTGAGGAGCACTGCTGAAAACGTATTTAGGTGCTGTGCTGGGAGACGGACCAACTCACACACACACACTCTCTCACACTGATGCAGATGTACTGCGTCTACATTTACTCACTACAGATGCTTTGGTTAGGAGGATGAGCACGATTAGGTCTTAAATGATTCTTTATCTAATCTCACACATACTGTAATCTAGTCTCTATCCGAGGAAATTGTGTCTGTGTAAACAAGAGAAGTGCACAAGGCCACACTCCTCTCACTCGACACCTACAGCCCCGCTATAAATACCAGCTGCTGCACTGTACACATGCAACTTTCAGTGTTTCACTGTAATTCAACTTTTTTTTTTGTATTCAGCTGCTCAGTTTCTTTTCCTTTTCTCGAGTGTGGTGAGGCGAGATCTTAAAGAATGTCAATCAGATGGTGGATAGAAGAGAAAAGAGCAATGACTGGGAAAAAAGAAAACCCTGTTAGGCTGCCATGACTTATCCCTGACGCAGTTTAACTGAGAAAAGCGGTCCTGTGAGTCGTGTAACTGAAGCCTCACACTCCCACCATCCCAACCTTTCATCTCCTCTCGCTTCATCATCTGATTCCTACGCTTTATTCAAATACCCCCATCCTCCAGCTCAAGCCTTGGCTGCTGAAATATAGAGCAAATACAATGCAGAGGGAAATGTTTTTGGGTCCAATTAAGCAAAAGTCTGAGAGGTAAACGGGGTAGGATTTTAATTATCTCCAGCGTTTTCCCCCCCAGCCTTTAATTACACAGGGGATCAGTCTGAAGGGTTTTATAGGTTCTTTAGGACTGCAGAGTATTTCCTTTTTGTTCTGGCCCATGCTGAGATACTGCCATCCAGATGACGACTGAGACTGAAGCTTACAGTCATTTGCAGACACACATTTCCCTGAAAGCAGCACCCATCTCCCTCTCTCTCTCACACAGGGTTTATGTCAGTACTTTATGCTGTTTTCAGATGCTAGATGTTTATTTCAGTGGCAGGTACGAGTCGGGGAGATGTGTCTGAATCCTGCAACAGGCTGCAGCTTCATCACACTCTCTCTCTCTCTCCTCACTCTCACACATACAGTCCTTCTCACTGTGAGAGATGCTCTGATGTGTTTACGTTCAGGAGAGGGAACCCTGCAGGATGTCAGAGCTGCAACCAAAGATTATTCATCATGAATCTGCAGCTTGTTTTCTGATTATCATGAAATATTGTTGTCTACACTTAATGGCCAGTTTATATTCTAGGTAAAATGCAGTTTCATTGGACATTGCTGCAATAAATGATACTTTTATGAGGGTTATTATGTTCAAGAGGTCCATTATTCTATGCATTATGCATGCTAATGTGTTTTCTATTATTGTGTCCAGCCCATTTATATCAATGAGAGTAGGCTAAAACTCCACGTCTGTATAATGCAATATCGTTCAACTGCATCACAATCCTCCCAAAGTATCGAAACATCAATTGCTTTATATTTATTAACCATTTCTGCTGTCAGTAGCAAGATGAATTTGTGCTAATACATATTTAGAGGCATCATTCCTCTTTCAGTCGGACACTAAACCGACCAGAGGCTGTCACATATCTTCACACACACACAGATAGTCCTGCGGCAACACAGATTTCAAGAAATCATTGAGGTTTCTCCCCTGTGCTTGTACAACAGTGTTGTTACATAACTCAGCAAGACGTCTTTTTTCTCCTTTTTGCTGCATTGAGAATATAGCTGCGTTAAATCCCCTCCTTAGATACATATATAAGCAGATGGACCATAGGCTGTAAGCTGCTTAACCCTGCACTGACTCTGGACACATGCACTTTCTCCGTTCCCCAAGAGAGATAGAGAAACTGGGATCAACACTTTTTGGGTTTAAAAGGTGTGAGGGAGGAAGATGCCAGTTTAAGTTTTTTTTTTTAATAGGCAGAGAAATAGGATTACGTTTAGGGGAGACACTGCAGGTGGATAGGGTCCAAACAAAACTAATAGACAACACCATGAAACATTCCCAGTTGATAACCTTACAATATTTATTTTTGTATTTAAAATGATTGTTTAAATGTGCCAATGATGCATTATCACATTAGGAGAAACAAAAACGTTTTTGTTTTTTTTAAATGACATTTTCTTTTCACTAGTCTGAAAAGTGACCGCAGTGTGTTTGTAAACAGTGATGAGCTGGATGGAGAAATATGTTCCACCACCTTTGTCCACATCTGGCATTGAGTATTTCGTAAAAACTGAGGTTACCAAACACTTAAGGAAACATAAAATCTCTCTGGTGGCCGAACTCCACCTCCCATCCCTTGTGAGTTCTGAACATTTTCAGCTGTTCCCCGTTGTTTTATCTTCATCAGCCTCTCAGCCAGGGACGTGCACAGACATTTTGGGGGGCAGGGGCTCAAGTGAGAAAAAGGGCACATCCCATAATTATTTATTGAAAAAAATGTAAAACTAAAAGTTAAATATAGTTGCACATCTCTGGCTTACCGACCAATTAATTGTAATACCCTCACACTCACGCAATTGTTTAATACTCAACATAATTCTACAAAATAATCAGTTAACACAGAGACAATGGTCTTCTTTAGTATTCACTACCCACAAGAGCAGACATCAACAAAGGAAACTATGCCTCAATATGCATGTTTTCTATGCTAGTAGTTAATTGCGGCTATAATGAGTTTATTTTAGCACAACATTAAGTCCTTTGAATTATTTTTGTGGTTTTAAAATGACACTTCAAAATCAACAAATCTTCACACGAAACTGAAAAAGGCT